ATGAAATAGAATGTTGCAGATTTTCCAAAATACGATTGGATTATGAATAATTTTGTCTTATTTGTGAGGATTTTCAACGTATAAGGGCATAACAATCATACAAATCCCAACTTCTTACAACTACAAGAAATAGTATCATCTAAGGAGTGAAATTTCATAATATGATATTTTGATCTTCTAAAATAAATGACGTGATATACTGTAATTTTTTCATCCGTGCTAATAAGAACCCCCTGCGTAATCATAAGACTTCCACAATTCTTTTTAGAAATCTTTTAAAACTTCAGGTGTATACATATTTGCAGTATCTTTTAATCATAATTTTGAATTGTTCAAAAAATACTTGCAAAGAATGAATTCACATATTGATGATACTATTAATGCACCCACTACGATGTGTCGTAATAATGAATTGATGTCCATAGACTAATGTTTATTTCTCTTTTACCATAAACCTATCCAACCAATCGTTCTTCAATATGGCACACACCACCAATATTCATTATATTCGTACAAAAATTCTTTATTTTCTTCATAGTCGCATCTCTTAAAATTATGTGTAAAATCTTTAGATTTTTCAAAAATTTCATTCAAATATGTAAATTGTAACAGATCTCAGGCCATTTTGCAGCTAACACATTACTCACCCCAAGATCTTAATATGTTAAAATAGTAACGGATTTTTTATTTATTTTTCCACATAGTGCCTACGATCGTATCAAATGTCCATTCAAACGAATTAACTCTTTCATAGTATAAAAGTGAAGCTCCAATGATTATTTTTTCATTGGTGATTGACATTAACGAATAATACAAAAGAGCGATATTCTCTATTTTTTCTATATGTGGTGTCGAAATTCATAACATCTATAAAATCAACAAAGTTTATTTTCATTATAATGTTTGTCCAAAATATTGAATCATTCAACGTAGTTGTCACATATTCAAATGTAAATACAATTACAGTTATCCTATTTGAATCGAGTATCGATTATTCGATTGAAATATATATCGGTATCAAAATATTCAATCAATCCAAAATTCATAAACACTTAAGGGTATGTTTCTTTTAATGGGGTTTGAAAATCTTTGATTTTTTTCGAAAAACACAAAGTTCAAATAGTATGAGTGAAAGAGAATTTTCTCTTTGTTGAATCATTTTTTACACAGTCTAAAATTGAATTTGTTAGTCTACTATATGTTGTTGCACCATCCTTTCTGCCGTCCTTGTGTGAAATGTGTGGCACACTTTTTTCTTGCTTTTTTCCCCTTAACAATTAGACTTTTTTTGATCTTTTAATTTATATTTCATGTCATCGAGATATTGAGTGGTGCAATGCTATTTTTTTTTTCAATTTCATCAATTTTGTTACTTGCATTATGCATATCACAAATAAAAAATACATGCACAAATTAAATAAAATCCAACCAAAATTAATTAAAATATTATATGTAATGTGAACAATTATCGAATGTAATGTTTAACTATCAAAATACAAAGAAATATCTTGTTAATATAAAATATAATATTTAAATTAAACTTTTATTTTTGATTTTGAAAAATGTACTAGTATTATATATTTATAGAATTAAACTAACTCAACACTAATATGATATTCATCCTAGTGGAGTTCATGTGGAATCATTTCTCTATCTCGCTTGCTGTCTGATCACACTTGTTGGACCGCCAACCGACCATTACAATGCCAACCAGAAGACTTTCAACATAAAACACCATCACATATTCCAATTTCGATGTCAATGAGGGTTTTCCATAATCACAACCAATGCCGCCGTCTAGTCCATTTCACTGATAATTCAACACTAGTATGATATTGTCCATTTTTGATCAAATCTGTACATAATTGTTTTATAAACTTCCTCTAAAATGTCTTATACTACTAAAGTTCATAGGAGACTTATGGATGTGTTTACTTGTGCAACTTTGGTTTTTATTTTACTATTTCAATAATTTTTTACCTTAAAAAATATCAAATCAAACACTTAATTTTTATTTATTATATTACACTAAAATTTAATTTTACATTAAAAAATCACATCAATACATATTTATATAACATGAAACAACTATTTCAATTTTCAAAATTTGACTATTCAAAATTAAAACCCAAAATCAAAATCTCATAAATATATACATACATAAAGTGTAGATTTTTTTTTTTTTTCCAAATCTTTCAATGTAAAACTTAGATTTGCACCCAATAGTGTGTGAATATATTATCGTATTTTATAATATTAATAAAAAATTGTGTAAGAAAAGTGTATATCTTAAGTTTGAGTTGAGGGTTTAGAGTTTAAGGTTTACAGTAGAATTCGATAAAAATCAATAAAATATTGTCTGTAATATAAATATTTATCGTATACCATTTTTAGTATTTAGATACATCAAAAAACTTTGTTCTATAATATACAGTATTTAAATTATTTTTTATTTTGAAAAATATTAGTATTATATATATATATATGTAGTGTGTATATATATTATACTAATAGTTTTTTATATATAAAAATTTGTATAAAATAATAGATATTTCTTTAAGATAGTGTTGAAAAAATTTAAATAAATTTTATATTTAAATAATTTTAATATGATATTTTTCTAAAAATATAAATTTTATATAGTAAAATTTAAGAGATAAAACTAAATAAAAGACACAACTTTTTGTGAAAAAAGACATACAATTTGTTCTTTTATCTTTTGAATCAAAATTAATGCTATTCATTTGACATAATTTTTAATAAAAATATACTCTATTCGTTTCACATATCATGTCATGTTTTCTATTTTTATCCGTCTTACATATTATGTCACTTTCTTTTTTTTAAAAAAATATTTTACATTTTAATTGTATTTTAAATTTTATAATTTATAATTTTTTAATTTTTATTAGACTAATTAGTTATTTTAATTATAATATATATAATTATTTGTATTATATTGTAATTAAGTATACTAATACATTCTTAATTATTTATTAACAATACATCTCTTAAATTCTCGTGTCTACGGTAACCTTGACATTATATTTGGGACGGAGGGAGTATTATGTTTCTTCCAAAATATCACATCAAAATAATATTTAAACAAATAAATCAACAACTCATTTCAAATCAATTTCAAACCACAAAAGACCACAACCATATTTTTCTAAAAATATTACTTCCTCCGTCGCAATTATGATGTCATGTTTATTTTAGATACGAGAATTTAAGAGAAATATTATTAGTAAAATAATTAATAGTGTATTAGTAAAATTAATTATAATATAATACAAGTAATTATAGATTATAATTAAAATAACTAATTAATTTAATAAAAAAATATAAAATTATTGATTATAAAATTTAAAATATGATTAAAATATAAAATATATTTTTTATTTAAAAAAAATAAGTGACATAAATTTTTCCTATGGATATGTAGGATCTACTATTTCCCGACATTTTTTGCTATATAAAAATTTTATTTTTATTAATTATTTTAAAAATAAATATTTAACAATCCAAAGCCCCGACAAATACTCTATTCGTTTCGTATAATTAGGGTCTATTCACGTAGATATGAGAATTTAAATAAAATATAATTAGTAAATAATTAAAAAGTGTATTAGTAATAATAATTATGATAAAATATTATTTTAGTCCTGTAACTGGGCCACCTTATATTTTAATTCCGTAGGTGGAGTCTGTCGAAAACTAGTCCCATAAGTGAAAAATTTTCGCTGTTTTAGTCCTCCGGCGCCGAAGACGCCCGCGTGGCTCACCGGAGGTAACGTGTCCGCCAGGTCAGCGACACCTGGCAGACACGTGGATTTTTTTTTTTAAACTTATTTTTAATTTTATTTATATTTTTTTATTTGGTCCAATTAAAAAAATAAAAAAAATAAAAAATAAATAAATCCACGTGTCCGCCAAGTGTCGCTGATCCGGCGGGATACTCGGCGGACACATCACCTCCGGTGAGCCACACGGGCGTCTCTGGCGCCGGAGGACTAAAACAACGAAAATTTTTCACTTATGGGACTAGTTTGCGACAGGCTCCACTTAGGGGATAAAAATGATAAGGAAGTCCAGTTACCGGACTAAAAAGCAGTTTACCTAATTATTGTTTTTCTAGCATCGTATATATTGATGTAGCGCATGTTATCGCCACATAAATGCCAGAAGACCATTTTAGCGAAAAAAAATTTACTTACAATATTATTTTCGGACATTATCCATTTAAAATCTTAAAAATGACAAAAGATGTCATGTCATATACAAGACTAAAAAAAATAGTTTAACAAAATATTTTGTAAAATAAAAAAATAAAAAAATTCCATGTGTAACTGATGTATCACCTACGTGGATGACATGTCGTTGCATTAGCGCCACATCAGCAACGGCGGACCAGCATAGCAAATTCAGCGAGGACCACTTTAACGAAGTTATTTTCAGATATGGTTTACATCTTAAAATGATAAAGGATCATAATTAAAAAAGAAAAAGAGTTTACCCTTAATATATTAAAAAAATTCAAATAAATACGTCTACAATATATCAATATTTATAATTATAAAAAAATATAAAATATATTCCCCTCCCTCCGTTCCTTAACAATTTATTCATTTATTTATTTTAGTTCGTTCATAACAAAATATCTATTTTTTTACTTACTTAACAGTACAAATACCTTTCAATTTACAATGTGTTACACAAATGTCATTACTTTGTATCATATAATACTAATAATGTTAATTTAATCTTTTTCTTTTTTTTTTATTTTTTTTTCTACTTTGTCCGAATATAAATATTAATATTTTCAAAATGCAAAAAAAACAAATGAATGTATAAATATGAAAAGGAGGGAATATTATTTTAAATTATTGATAAACTTTTTATATTTAAAATAAAAGACAGTGTCAAATTAAAATTACAAAACAAACACATGTAATAAAAATCATTTTAGAAAGCCCATAAATAAAAAAGAAGATTGATCGACGGATAGAGGAGAGGACCACCACCGGCACTCGCCATTTCTAACTTTTCGTGTCACTTCAATCTCTTCTTCTTCAACTCCCTCCCTTCGCACGCATTCCCTTCTTCCATCTTCCACACTCTTCCTTCCTTCCACTCTCGATAATCCCACTTTACCCTCCCATTTTCACCGCAAATCTCACCGATTTCGATGCTGATTCGGTAATTTATTCGATTGCGTGCTGCGTGTGCTCAATTGTGTTCGATTTCGATGGATTGGATTTCGTCCGGTTAACGGCGGCGATCGGCGGTTTTTAGGGTTCTGTGGTTTTGCGTTATTTGCGGAAATTATTGGCGAAGGAAGTGGTAAGGTAAGTGAGTGGTTAGGGCTGTACGGATTCTGTTGGTGATTTTTTGCGATTGAGATGAAGATCGAGGAGGTTGATGATGATATGACGGGTAGTGTGGTCGAAATCGGGAGCAGGAGCGGTGGTAAGAACTGCGGTGGTAAGGATCGGAGCCTGATCGTTGTTCGAATCGATGCGAAGCGAGCTTTGGTCGGAGCGGGTGCTCGGATCCTGTTCTACCCGACGCTGCTGTACAATGTTTTTCGAAACAAAATTCAATCCGAGTTCCGATGGTGGGATGAAATCGATCAGGTATTCAATCTGAATAAACAGTAACGTTGACCACTTTTTTTTCCTAGGTATTTTGATCGATTGATTGATTTTAATTATTGTTCTTGAATCAGCTTCTGTTAGTTCTTTTGAAATGTGTTTTTGTAATGATATAGTTTTGATGATTATTTCGGTTTCAAGGAATGCATCGACTTTTATATATGTGTTTGATATGGTTTTAATTGATCAATGTTTGGATATGAAGATAATGATGGATAAATGAGAATGAACTGTTGTTGTGTTCTAAGCATGTTTTTGTGTTGTTTTGGATTTGATTTGATTTGATTTTTTTTTTTTTTTTTTTGTTTGGAGGATAAATTTTGGATTTGATAGATTTAAATATATAAAATATGTCATAGATGCAATGTGTTGAATGAAAATTAGGTGTTTTTGGAGAGAAAAGAAATGAATTTAAACAAGTTTGAAAACACACCCAAAAATGTGTCTACTTGCATTTTGGTTTTGTTTTTGTGTTTTTTTGTTTTCGGATGAAAGCAGTTTTCGAATGTAATGATTTGAATGGGAATTGAGTGCTTGATATGTAGTTTTTATTTTTTGAAAAAATGTTAGTTTGAATAGTGCACAATTTTTTTTTTTAAAAACACATTCAAAATTGCTTTTAGTGTTTGGGTGCTTTCAAGGTGAAAATAGTTGTTGAATGTAATGATTGGAATGGAAAATGGGTGTTCGATATGAAGTTTTTGTTTTTATGGAAAACTTAGTTTGAGTAGTACCAAAATAAATTTAGGGTGTCTTTGTTTGGGGGTTTGAATTTTGAGTTGGGATTTGATTAGTTAAAATTTTGAATTGGAATAGTTGTATGATGTGATATAAATAGGTGTTGATATGATGTTTTGAATGATATTTTGTATAATATAAAAAATAAAAAATAGGTATTTGATTTGATGTTTTTGAGGGGAAAATTTTTTATGAATAGTGGAAATTGAGAAAAATCCCCCAAACAAACACGCTCTTAATAAACACACGTATAATTGCGTCCAGATTTTGGTGTTCGCAAGGTGAAAATAGTTGTTGAATGTAATGACTAATGATTGGAATGGAAAAATGGGTGCTGGATGCGGTTTTTATTTTTTTTGAGAAAATGTTTGTTCAAATAGTTCAAAAACAAATTCGAAATCCCAAGAAAACAATACCATACCATTTTTTGTTGTTGTTGTTGATAAGATCTGTTTTGAGACATTACAACGAACATGGTATATTCCAAGTTACGTGCTTTTACTTTTTGTCTGCGAGTGTGTAGTTTCTACTCTTGGGAGCTGTTCCATTTCCGAAGGATGTTCCGCGGTTGAAGCAGCTTGGAGTTGGTGGTGTAATTACTCTTAATGAGCCCTATGAAACTCTGGTGCCAACATCGCTGTACTATGTAAGTGGTTCGAATTCATATTTTTTCATCCAATGCCCTAATTTGGAGGTTTCCGCCCCTGCCCGTTGGGGTGGCCGTATTTTTGTTCAAATCGTAGTAGTGTACAAAAGAAAATGATTGGACTTCGTATGTCGTGGAATATTGCTTTTTATGGTCTTCAAAACTAATTTATGCGAAATTAACCTTAATTGAAAAACAGGTGAAATTTCCGAATGCCGATGTTGTTAAGTTATGGTTTGATTGCCAATCTTTTCTGCTAATTTATAATGTAATCGAAGCTTTTTTCTGGGGGATTTGTGTCTTGAAATTGCCTATCTATTCTGTAGATTAATGTTATGTGCGAACATAGTTGATAGTTCCCTTTGAATTAGCGTCGCCTAGATTAGACTAGGAAACAGCCCCGAACAAATTAAGAAAGGTGAAGTTTTACATTTAAATCGGGCCTCTTTGAAGGTTGAAAATAAAGTGTTCTTAGAGACATTTTATGCACGGCTTGTATGATTAAATTAAATATGATTGTTCTATATTACCTTAATCGTCTCGTCATTTTCCAGGCACACGAAATAGACCATCTTGTGATTCCGACCAGAGATTATCTCTTTGCTCCATCCTTTCTGGACATTAACAGGGCTGTCGATTTCATTCACAGTGCGTCACTCCACTTGTCATCATGCTTTTCTAGCACCTAATTACCACCGAAGTTTATTCTCAATCTATAACCTGATTTCATCGATCCTTTCTGGTTGTAGGAAATGCTTCTGCTGGTCGAACAACGTATGTACACTGCAAAGCCGGAAGGGGAAGGAGCACGACCGTTGTTCTATGTTACCTGGTTCAGTTCATTTACTACGAATTAACTCCTGTCACATTTGCTTTGGTTATTGATGCTAACAATTCGACACTTTGGTTTACTTTTTTATTTTATTTTATTTTTCCAGGTGGAATACAAGCATATGAGTCCAGCAACTGCATTTGAATATGTTAGATCCCGACGCCCCCGGGTGCTATTAGCTCCATCACAATGGAAGGTACACAAAAACATTCGATGAACATTAAGCGATTACTTGCAAATTCTCGATTTGCATAAAGAAATCAGTTTTCAACTTAAGCAGGACATCGGTTCTAGATTTCTTACAAATAAAATGATATCATGTCCACGGCCATTTCTTTATCTTACAGTCAACAGTAAAATTTATTTCTTAAACAGATTTATTTTAATTCGAAGCGAAAAGTATTATGTGTGTTTGTTGTTTGTTTGTGTTTCTGTGGTGTTTGTTGTTGTTGGAACAGTAGAAGTTTAAATTGACACTAGTTTTAGATGCAATATTAATAATTCGGAAATGGACCCGTGCTGTTAAGGTGTGTTTGTATGGAGTTTGGGTTTTGAATAACAAATTTTCAATTTGGATAGTTGTTTCATGTAATTTTTATATGTGTTAATATGATGTTTTGAATATAAAATTATTTTTGTAACTATAATATAGAAAATAAGAAGTTAGTGTTTGATTTAATAGTTTTTGAGGAAAATTATTTCATGAATAGTATTCCCTTTGTCCCATTACATATTTTTATTTTGGGACGTTCAATTACAAAGTAACCATTTCATTAACTATACATATTTTTATTTTGGGACGTTAAATTACAAAGTAACCATTTCATTAAAGATCCTATTTTTTTTCCACAAATACTTTTATTTTATATCATATCATTACTTTTATAAAAAGAAGTAAGGACAAAAATGTTATTATACTATTTTTAACTATCCACTATAATTAAAATATTATTATTTTTTAAACTCTGTGCCAAAAGTAAATGTATAAGTATTTATGATGATTCTTGACATTTTTACCTCTTTTACTTTATTAATATATATGTAAGATATGTTTGTAATTCACGTGAAAGTTAAGTATATTTTGGTATTAATATATGATTATTTTTACTATAATACCTTTTCAGGCAGTGCAAGAATACCAACAGCAACGAACGATTTTCAAAGGGACGTGTATGCCAGGAGATGCCGTATTTATAACAAAAGCTGATTTGGAAGGATACGACAGCCGATGTGACAGGAACCGCGGGAAGGAGCTGTCACTTAAGCCGAAAATGGCGAGGGGGAATCCAATGATTGCGCGATTGTCGTGCCTGTTTTCATCTCTCAAAGTTTCAGGTAATTCCGGACCTGTTATGAGGCGCCTGACGGAAGCGCCGGCCTGCTAGATTCAATTCGATTCGAACCCCTCGGTTAAACACTACCAGGTGCGTAGAAATGTTAATAATAGCGTACACGAGGTGCTTGTGACTTCTGAGGCCAATAAAAACAGGCGAATATCATGCCGCGCCCTGAGATCTCGGTAACACATTGCGCGCGTATGTGTAAATATTTGTGTGTATATATATATGTGCGTGTTTTAAGTCTAAATTGCGACTAGTTTTGCAGATGAATTTGTATAGGGAAAATTGCAAAAAAATATCCCACACTTATGTTCTATTATCACTTTTATCGTATATTTATCTCGCTGATAATATATATCCCACATGTTTACAAAAGTCGCTATTTATATTATTTGCCCGTGCGTGACATTCACACCACGCGCGGTTAAGCACGGCCATACGTGGCCAAATGATAGAAATAACGACTTTTACAAACACGTGAATATATTTTTCCAGCTAGATAAATACAAGATAAAAATGATAATGGGGTATATGTGTGAGATATTTTTTACAATTTTCTCAATTTGTATGCATTGATAAAGATCACAGGTAAGGCAAAGACGGAGCAAATGGTGACGACTAGAGGCTATCGAAGTAGATTGTTGTGCGCCCGCCGCTTTGGACGGAACGGATGAGAAACGATTAAGTATTGAAATTATGTGTTGATACGATATTTTTTTAAGGTAGAAAAAGAAATGGAGATAATTGGAAAAATTAAAATAGAATGATACATGAGGAGGGTTTGGTTTTCAATTTACTTTTAGGGTAAAATAGTTTTTTAGTCTCGTAACTGGACTTTTTATCATTTTAGTGTAAATGGAGCTTGCAAACTAGTTTCATAAGTACATTTTTTTTGCTATTTTAGTCCTCCGGTGTCGGAGACGCCCGCGTGGCTCGCCGGAGGCTACGTGTCCGTCAGGTCAGCAACATCCGGCGGACACGTGGATTTTATTTTTTATTTTTAGTTTTTTAATTTTTAAAAAAAATTATTATTTTTTTTTAATTTTTTTATTTGGTCCAATTTAAAAAAAATAAAATTCAAGTATCCGCTAGGTGTCGTTCACCTGGCGGACACGTGGCTTCCGGCGAGCCACGTAGGCGTCTCCGGCGCCGGAGGATTAAAACAACGAAAAATTTTTGAGGCCGGAGGATTAAAACAACAAAATTTTTTTGATTTATGGGACTAGTTTGCGACAGGTTTTACTTACCGAACTAAAATAATAAATGGGTCAGGATTAAAAAAAACCGTTTATCCTTACTTTTAATATTGTTCATCAAAATTGTTTTTAAAAAAACATTTAACTTTTGCCTCTTTCGTCTACTAAGTTTATGATTATATTTTTTGTTTGTTCATAAAAGATATATTTATAGCAAAAGCTATTGTTAATTTATACTCTTTACTATTATATTTATAATTCTAACATGCTTTTTAATTTATATTTTTTAAATATAATATTATCCCGTGTTTATTTACAAATATGTTATCATTACTTAGGCATTTCAATTATCAATTTTATTTTCACGTTGTAAAGCCTTTATATATATCTTAAAATATTTTTATTTTATATCATATTAAACAAATACATACTTTGGCGTTTTGGTTTTGTTTTTAATAGTCAAATTTTAAATTGAAATAGTTGTTTGATGTGTATAAGTATATATTGATGTGATGTTTCGAATGTAAAATTTAATTTTAATTTAATATAATAAATAAAAAATCAATGTTTGATTTGATATTTTTAAAAAAAATAAAAATTTGGAATAGTAAAATATAAAATTAAATCACACAAGTAAAGAACAACAAAATCCGTTGGAGTACGGATGTAAACCAAAAATTGACATTGAAGTCTGTTTGTTTGGAGGATTGGATTTTAAATTCACTATTCATTCTATTTTTTTCCTCCAAAAATATTAAATTAAACACCTATTTTTTATTTTTTATATTATACTAAAAAATAATTTAAATTCAAAACATCACATCATACAACTATTCAAATTCAAAATTTTTACTATTCAAATCCCAATTCAAAATCCAAACTTTTAAAATTTTTAAATATATAAACTTGGCTTGACTAGTGTGTGATAAATAAGAAAAAAATTATGTTAAAAAAGATCATTTTTCCAAAAATCATCACTCCAAAAGATAAACTCCCCCGCCTCCACAAATCATACATATTAGGAATTTTTTATTTTTCATTTTTATTTTATATATTTATTTATTTATATCTAGCAAAGAAATGCTTACAAATTTAAATCTAGGTATTTACAGGGTTAGAAACCCTAAGCATCAAATAAGTACCAAATAAAAATAATATATAAAAAGGCCCAGAAAAGTATTAAAACGCTTATTTGAAGCCCAAAATGATACCGAATAGCGTCGTATATTAAGGTCATCTCCAACTCAGCGTCATTAATAGCGTTGGGTTGGCATATTTGGCGTGGGTTGACAACCCAAGCCAAATCCAACGCAAAAATTATTATTACTTTTTAATTTTTTTAATTTTTATAAATAAAAAATTTGATTTTTAAATTTAATTTTTATTTTTTAAAATTTTTTAAAATTTTATTTTAAATTATAAAAATAAAAAATTGTTTAAAATAATAGAAAAAATTGAATATTTTGAAGAATAATAGTGAAAAATGGAGTGATGGTTGGAGTAAAATTGCTGTAGCAACTGCATATTTTGAGTTAAAACTGAATAAATGGAGTTGATGGGTTGAAGATGGCCTACGAGTTTGACTTATCGGGCCATTTTAGGAGGTGTATTCATTTGAAATTTCATTAAATTTTTTACATTAAATTTTTTAAGTCAATCAAGAGTTTGATGGATTTTATTAATTGATTTAGATAGATTCTTAGGGGACGTTTGGTATAGAGAATGGAAGGAATTGCAGAGAAATGAGAGTAGAGAATGAAATGGGAGACAAAGATAATTGAGTAGAGAATATGAATTAATTCTCTTGGTAGAATAGAAAATTCAGTTGAGAAATATTAAAAAATGAATAGATCGGACAAGAATAAATGATTAGTCTAACAAAAGAGAGTTTTAGCGAGTGAGAGTTCATGAAAAAATATTTCTGGTGATTTTTTTTGAAAAAAAAAAACAAAAAATTATAAATTATATACGAAATTGTAAGATCATTTTTTAGTATAATTTTTTAAAGAAAAACCTTAAAAAATTAAATACTTGAATGATAAATTAAATCTAATTTTTGTAAAATTGAAATAATATAATATAAATAATTATAAAAATTAAATAGTAAAAAAATAAAAAAATTTAAATATATATATACTGCAACGTCATTTCTCTCGATACAGCGGAGAAATGAAAACAGATAAATAGAAATTATTTATTTTAATTATTTATTTCTCAAGTTCCATTTTCCATTTCTCTGCTGCTAATTCCCTATACCAAACACACTCTTATAGATTTGATTGAATATATTTATGAATTTATATGAATTTTGTAAAATTGTAAAATATTTTTTTATTGATTTATGTAATTATATAAACTTATGTAAATACAAATATAATTATTGATTTATGTATAATATATTTATTATATTTTATAAAATATAGGTAATATTAATAAGTAATATATAATTACTAATGATGTAAAAATATTGTAATATATATAATACTATTATTTTGTATATTATATTTTTAATTTTATAATTTTTATTATATTATCATTCAATATATCAATTTTTTTTTATATTTTTTATTAGTTATTATTATTATTCCTATGTATATATATTTTGTAAAACATAAATATATAAATTGAAAAATTAATATATAACACAAATTGATTATTTTTATATTATAAGCACAATTTCTTATATTTTAAAAAAATATCAATTCAAAATATTTCACAAAATAATAACACCAAAAATAAAAAACTGCATTTACCATTTTGCATAAAAAATAAAATTTAAAAGTAAAAAGTAAATAAATATAACTAACGGTTCAAAGAAGAAAACATATATATTTAATTAACTTTACCGACAATACAGTGTATTCGATAATTAAAAAAAAAACAATAATACATATTCATTATGATAGTAGTAATTTTCAAATATTATATTTATTACCCCCTCCATCTCATATCTATATCAATTTGGTTTTTTTTAGAGTTTTAGAAATATTAGTATTATATTGGGATAAAGTAGAAATAAAAGTAAAAAGACTAAATTAACCTTATTAGTATTGGATGATATAAAAGTAATGACGTAATATATTGTAAATTGGAAGGACGAGAGACTGAGGGAGTATATAATAATACATATTTTCAAAAAAAATTGATAATAAACTATTAATATAATTTATTTTTAAATTATTACTTTTTATTAAATATTTAAAACAATATTAATAAATATTATCTTTTCACTTATATATATTATCAACAACAATCCGAAGAAGAAGAAGTAGAAGAAAAAAAATTTTAAAAATCCATCAAAATTTCTCGTTATAATTTTCTCATGTACAAATCTTTTATAATTGTCCATTAAAATCCAATGAAATTCACAAACTTTAAAAGTGGATTGTTGAATACAATACTTTTAAAAGTATGCATTGAATACCTCAAGATTTTAAAGAACTTTTAAAAGTCTTGATTGAATACATTCAGATTTTAAAAGATTTTTAAAAGTTTGGATTGAATACATCCGATTTTAAAATTCCAACAAAATTATACAGAGTTGTGATTGAATACACCCCGTTAGATAAACTATAGTATAATTTTTGTTTAATTATGAAAATAAATATAAAAAAGGTTTATTAACCCAATCTACTTTTAGGTGATAGAGATTCTTTATTAACCCAAATATATATATTATATTCACCACAAAAAGTCAACAATTTCATAAAATAGTATTATTTTTTTAAGATATTTTTTTTTTAGATCCATAGTTGACCCCTTATTATTTTCATCTCATAATCGGATCATCTATAGAAATCGTGCCATAAGTGAACATTTCTAGCACAATTGGTCCTCCGGTCCAAAGATACGCACGTGACACCCGTCTGACATGCCGAAGTAGACGTGTCCGTCAGATAGATGCAAAAAAATTCACTTACGGGACTAAATGATAAGACGGTCAGTTGCAAGATTAAAAAAATTTCTACGTATTTTTCGAATGTTGCCTACTTGACGGACACGTGTGTTCCGGCGTATTAGACGGGTGTCACGTGGGCATCTTCGACGCTGAATAACTAATTGTATCAAAATAATTAAATAATTTTTATACATATTAGCACTAACTGACAAAAAGCTCACCAATTCAAAAAGTTCACCCATGTTGCACAAAACTTAAAAAGAAATTTCCAAACTAACATTAAGTATGTTCACTTTTGTGTTCTTTAAGTATATGTATTGTTCTTCTTTTTTTTTTTTTTTCTTTAAATACGAAAAACATATTAACAATATAAAAAATAATGTTTTAATTTTAATTATTGATTTTTAATTTGTAAATAAATAAATTCTCTTCAGGGTTGTTGTAAAAAAGAGATATATATATATATATATTTAAATAAAAAATTATTATACTTATATTTTTTTACTATAAAAGAAAATAATAATAATAATAATAATTTATTTTATTAAAATTCGTATCTGGTCAAATGAATATATAATTGCGCGACTAACAGAGTACATATATTGTATGAGTGCGTGTATGTAATGTATTTTTTTATGATATTTATCGTAAATTCATGTTAACAAAGAAATATTGATAAACACACCCTTAAGTTCTAACAATTCAATAATGCAAGATAATATTTATATTAAATATATTTCATCAAGTAATAGATTTTAAGTTTCTTTAAAAACATTTTAAAATCAAATGGTGTGTTGGTTGTAGGGTTTGCGAGTTCGATTTTGAGTTTTAAATTGAGATAGTTGTTTAAATAAAATATAAATATATTGATATAATATTTTAAATATAAAATTGTATTTTGTTGGAAAATATATTTGGTCAAATTTGAGATACGGCTAAATCCGAAAACACAAAATCAATTAGATGCAAAATTAAATTCGAGTCTCGCATAGCACACGATTTTCTTGAAACGAATTCGGCCCTCTACCGATCGTCTCTCAGGATAGAACGAATTATCACGGAATAACAGATTCTGCAAACCAAATTAGAAAACTTTTTGGAAGAAAATTTGCAGAGAATTTTCTAAGAATTAGAATGAAAAAGTTTTTCATATGTCTAAAAAAAAGGAGAAAAAATATTTTTTATTTTGTATTTAATCACGACTGCCCACGTTCTAACATGTTGTATTCAATTGTAACAAACTATTTATTTGATCATTTATTTATTTATTTATTCAAATAAAATAAATTAATCAAATAAAATGTGGGACAAATAATTTATTCTTTCTTTCATTTATTTAATTAAATACCCAACATATTTTAGTGAAATATAAAAAAGTAAAAAATATATATTATTTGATACTTTAATTTGATATTTTTGAAAGAATTTATTCTTTTTTTTTTAAGAAAAAAATTGAATCCAAAACCTACGAAGCGAAACAAATCCAAACACCATCTCATTGTCTCATTCAAAAACCAAGATCCAAACACCTTGGGGTTTGTTTAGATGGAGGTTTTTGGAAATTTGAAAGTTTGGAAAAAGTAAAAAGTTAGTATTTGATTTGATATTTTGTGAGAGAAAAAGTATATTTGATGTGATATATTTTGAAAAATAAATAGTATCAAATCAGTGAAAGTGTGTTGTATATCTATCCAACTTTAACTTTTTTTTTTATTGGTGGCACGATCTATAATAAATATTATTAAAAAAATACAATATATACTATTAATTCATAAAAAAAAGGAAAATAATTATTTTTAGTTCAAATATAACCAAAATTCATTAATTTTGGTCCAAATATAAAAATCTTATCAATTTTTGTCCCAATATAACCAAAACTCATCATTTTGTCCCAATATAAAATTTTTATCAATTTTAGTCCCAATATTACCAAAACTCATCATTTTTTGCCCCAATATAATCAAACCTTATCTTTTTTGGTCCCACCGTCAATAAACCGACGGAAAATATTAACGTGAAAAGAAATCAAACCTTATATTTATATTTGAAGAAATTGCACAATCTTGCAAATCCACGTCAGCATTTTCTGTCGGTTTGTTGACGATGGGATAAAAAAAGATAAGGTTTGATTATATTTGGACAAAAAATGATGAGTTTTGGTTATATTGGGACTAAAATTGATAAAAATTTTATATTGTGACCAAAATTGATGAGTTTTGGTTATATTGGGATCAAAATTGATGAGTTTTGGTTATATTGGGACCAAGATTGATAGAATTTTTATATTGAGACCAAAATTAATGAATTTTGGTTATATTAGGAGCAAAAATATTTTTTTCCCTCATAAAAATCTAACAATTCAACACAAAATTATTTTTTATTTTAATGATACGATTTTTATACCTAAAATAAAATATATATATATATATATATATACATTTATTCAAAATACAAAGTAACCAAGGCTAAGTTATGAGAATATCATATGTACTCGAATTAATTTTTATCAACCTTTTCTGACAAGAAATTAAGTCGATTGCTTACACAAACAACCTAAAAAATCAACAAATAAAAACAATAAGGAATTACAAATAACATACTTCATCTATATCTTACTAATATAAAGATGAGATCGATCGATCGATCACATAATCATATCTGTCTTGATTAATTCACTAATCATGAATTTGGAGTTGGAACAATTTCTTCCCTTTGGAAACCCTAATTTCTGTCTGTCAACTGACTCATCAGAAACAACATAAGATAACAAAGGACGATCGATAATCATGTGTATGTATAATGTATGTATGTATGTATCTATATCTATATGTCTCTGCGTAGTTTCTGATGTATGTATGTATATATATATATATATACATTTGTCTGAAATTCTACTCATCTAATTTTCCTTTGTCACTTTGTAGTTTTGTAGTACTATGAGCTATCCATGGTGATTAGAGTTGCCGGCGTCGTGCCAGAAAGTCGAGTATTTGAGCCATTCAGTCTCTTGAGGGTTCGCCATCGACGATTCCTGCATCTGGGAATTTATTTTTCCGTAAGGGTTTCGATTCGATCCAAAGGTAGTCATCATAGAATATAGTTTAAGACAAGAATGATGAGTTAGGTTTTGTTTACTTGTACATTTTTATTTATTTTTTTTCAATTATCCTCTCGATTTCTTATAAAAATAAATTATTTTCGATAAACAAAACATTACAATTGCCAAAACAAAGCAAACATCATATGATATTATTACATAGTTATCTAGAATTCTTATATTTGTGCATAAAATAAAAAAGATGAATTATATAAAAAGTTTAAATAGAATATTTTGTTCCTTTATATTTAGAAATGTATAATAAATATACAATTTACTCTATGTAAATTGACATGCAACCTATTTATTTATTTATTTATTTATCTATATGTACTTGCAAATCAATAGAACCATATTATATAACTGAATATATAAACTGTCTTCTTCTTTAATTTATTTTTCCTAGGATGCTCCAAGCAAGAAACTTTAAAGATAAATAAAATAAAATAAAGTTTGGGGATTGCTATCTTTCACTTTTAATTTCTGGGATTTTGTTCTCTACTTGACTTGTTTTATTTATTCTAAAGGACACACACTACAAAAAAATATATATATATATATATATTTGTAAGGGAATTCCGTCCCTAAAGTTCACGTAGCTAACGTAATTTCATTCCTAATTCCGTCTCTAATGTCATTAGTAACGGAAAAAGTAGATTTAAAGACAAAAACGTTTTGTTACAAAAATGATTTTTTCTTATGGTGACATTAAATTAAAGGACACAAATACATATATATATATAATTAATATTCTTTTGCACTAAGTGTTGGTTTCGATTTTTATGCATTGATAGCAACTGTTTAAACTAAAAACATCTTTAAAAAAAGAAGGTTTTATCTTTATAGTATTTTTAAACTTTATTTGTTCGAAAGAACAACAAATTAAAGAGTATTCTTGCTTCACCTCCCACAAACCATGGCTTTCTATGTCTTTATGAAAACACTCTTTTTATCGTACATACTTTTGAAAAAAAAAACGCCACATCAAATACCTCTAAATACCTAATTTTACTATTCTGAATTTTTTTCCAAAAATCCGAAACTTCTGAAACTCGTACCTATATAGAGCACTAGCTAGTAATCATCGTCAAATATTTAGTCCACATTCTCACATTATACAATTTATGGTGATCAATTATCTTTTTTTCTATTAATATTTATTAAAATAATTTTCGATTAAGAATCTCATATATAACACCAATTTTTCATTGAAAACAAAATATATATATAGTAATTGAACCTAAGATGATCTAAACACAACTAAATGAAGCCTAGGACTTTGGACCTCATACATTTATAATTTGATAAGTCACAAGTAAATATATATACATATGTATATATAGTAATATATCATTGCCATAATATGTTTAATTAGCATAAAGTTATAAAAGTGATACAATAAATTTTCAATTAAACTAAATCCATTGTAAACATAATTTACACTTATATAATTTATGAAATGGGAAGTGAATATGTAAAGATAGGTTTTTTTTTTTTTTTTCCCCTTAATTCAAAATGGCTATGAAAATTTGGTGCTCCTGAAATTATTGTTTCTTATGTTACCCTTCTCTAAATTACAATAAATTTAACTAGTAGTTGTATTATATAGAAAAAAAATAGATAGTGTATAAGTCTTGACTGTAATCCCTACCTTAGAGGCACCTAAACACTACAAAAAAATTAGTATATTTATAACAGAATTCCGTTCCTAAAGTTTACGTAGCTAACGTAATTCCATCTTTAATTCCGTCTCTAATATCATTAATAATAGAAAAAGTGAATTTAGTAACGAAAAAATATCGTTACAAAATTGATAATTTATTGTAGTGAAATATGTGCACACACTACTCACCATTGTACAGAGAGTGACAAAAAAAAAAAAAAACATGGTTCTCATTGTTTGTGGATTTGATATGTGGGTTTGGATTTTTAATTTTAATAGTAAATATTTGAATTTGAATAGTTATTTGATGTGATATAAATAAATAATTATACAATATTTTGAGTAGTATAATATAAAAAGTAAAAATAATTATTGAATTTGATATTATTTTTAAAAAACTAGTAAAAATCTTATAACATATTAAACATGTAATGTCATGTGGCACTTTTTGTTAGTTTTAGTGATGAGTTCCCAATTGGACAAAAACAAATGATGAGAGAGAGAGAGAGAGGGAGAGTAGACAGGCATGGGATGGCATGCAGCATTAGAGTGAGTGCACAAAGGTACTTATATATTGAGATTTTATTTTTTTTAAAAAAAAAAAATTAATATTTGATAAGATATTTTTTTACAAAAAGAATATATTCTTTCCGTCCCAAAACTATAGTCTAGATTGTGTTATTGGTAATAGATAAAAAACTTTTTTGCCCATGTGAATTTATTAATGTAAAAAGTAGTGGCAATTGTATAATAATAATGAAAAAGTAAGGGTAATTTTATAGTGTTATGATTATTTATGAAAATGAGACTATTGTTTTGGTACAGACAAAAATAGTAAACAAGACTATTGTATTGGGACGAAGGGAGTACTATTTGATAATTCATTCGTCTCAAAACAATAGGTACATTTGAGATTGTCACTTAAAATTAAGAAATAATAATATTATATTAATAATGGGCATAAATGTATTTTAAAAGTCCAAAATTTCATATTTTATGTAATTATCGTAAAAAAGTTAGGATAATTTTGTAAATGTGTGTGGAGGTTGTTATCAAAACATAGGATCGAGACTATTATTTTGGGACGGACGAAAATTATAAAATAGAACTATTATTTTAGAACGAAAAAAGTATAATATTTTATAAATATATATATATAATATTTGATGTGATGTTTTTTTAAAAAATACTAAATAAAAAAAAAAACTATAAAATTATAACACCTAAAATCCACACAAATTTATAAAATCATTATAAATAAATAGTAAAAATACAATAGTTAAAAGAGCTATAAAACTTATGACACCTAAAACCCACACTAGAACTAAAACTAAGTAAAAGTAATGAAATTGATACTTCCTTTGTCAAGATAAAAATAAAAAAAAAAATTATTTATTTCCTATCCATCACCAAAAAATTGATTAGTTTTATTTATTTATTTTTTGCAAAAAAAAAAAAAAAATTGTACTACCTCCGTCCACCACCAATCTATCTGTTTACTTTTTGCATGTTAATTTTTGAATATTAATTATTATATCAAAACGTAGTACAATATAGAAAAAACGACAAAAATATTTTTATTGGTGTCTTATAATACTACTAATGTAATGACATTTATACAAAAAAATTATACAAATATGAAGATATTTTTAATGTTAAAAATAATGACGTCAAATTCAAATTGATAGATTGGCGGTGGATGGAGGTAATATTATTTTTTACCATTTTTATTTTTATTATTATTATTATAAAAAATAAAAAGTAACAATAAGTTAAATTTCATAACAAAAATAAATAAATAAATTTTAAGAGTGAGAGTAAGGTTAGAGAGAGATTACTTGTTTGAGTGGAGTCTGAGTTGAAGATGAAGTTGAGGTTGAGGTGCAGCAGCTCATTATCAGTTCCTCCAATCCTTCAGAACAACACATTTTTCTTCTTCTTCTTTCATTTTTTCTTCTTTTTTTAATTCCTAATTTATTACTATGATCATCATCATCATCTTCTTCTTCTTGATCATAATCATTATCACCTTCATCATCATGTTGCCCTTCTCTTTGTTCCTGCATACATATATATATATATATATATAAAAATTAATATGGGCGGCACTGTACTGAACAACACTCGGTAAATTCACAAAAAGTACACAATATTACCGTTGACAACATATCATTTATATTAATATAATACAAATACAACACACGTGAACTAACAACACATGATATATATAGACTCGGACATCATATGCAACCGTTGATTTTTAGCACATAACATACTCTTATACAATACACGCTGTAGTTATGAACAAATACCACGTATCTTTATGTAATAAAAATATGTGTTATTTTTATATTTTATGTTGCTGTTTTAAAAATCAACACCGTAGCCCTTTCCACTGCATCCCCCTCCCCCCAACCCTTACAGGCTATGAGAATTTTTTTCAACATTTTTTAACGTGAAATAATATTCAAATAGTAAAATTTGAAAAAGAAAATAATAAAGAAACCCAATTTTTTATGTAATATTTTTATTAAAGAAAAAAACATTTTGTATACATTTATAGAGAGAGATTTTTTAAAAAAAAAATGAAAAATTTTAAGTTTGAAACATAAGAAACATATTGCAAATATTTGAAGCAAGGAAAGAAATGGCCAATTACCTGACCCGACCCACGAACTTAGGATCCGACCCGATTATCACTCAAATATAAAAATTGCATGAATTAAGGAAGAAAACCCATAGGACTGATATATAGGAGTGTACCTGGAAATGGTCCGCCGCCGGGAGGATAATCCGAGGGTCATGGAAGGCGGCGGCGGCGGCGGAGGGGTTGTGATCTAGAATTCCGATGGAAGTGTGGTGGTGGTGGAGAGGCAGCGGCGGCGGCGGCGGGGAGATGATGGCGGAGAGAGAATGGGATGGCCTGCTTATATGATATGCTGCTGCAATCTGATGATGTGTCACGTGATCGCACGTGATCCCTCTTCCTCCTCCACCCTCCCTTGCCATTGAAGCTTCCCCAATATTATTCCCCCCACCCTAAAATTCAGCAATCAAATAATCCAAATTTAAATTAAATTAAATTAACCCTAATTATATATATATATATATATATGAAATAATTGAGGGTTGATTTCTTGTCTGGTTATGGTGGGTGAGCTATACTACTAGCTAAGTTTGAATTTAGGTATTCGAAGAGGCTGAGGCTGTGTTGTTGTCAAGAAAGTCTGACATAATTTTCATGCTTTTGCCAGAAGCAATGAGGAGGATAATCAAACGTTGTTTTCTTAATTTCTTCCAAATAATTTCATTTTTTCAAAAATTAAAATTAAAAAAAAGGTTAAATTGCACAATATCCCAAGTACTTTTAAAAGTTAAACTCTTCCTTATTTTATAAACTCTGTATCATGGTCATCCTTATTTGTCAGTATTTTACTTGCATATACTCAAATTGCGAATGAATTTCATAATACTCATTTCTAAACTCCTAAAGTTATAAATATTTCATTTGTTGCTTTAAATAACACTAAAATAAAAAAATTTTAAAATCAGATAAAAATAATTATTTTTAAGTATATTTTACTATTTTTTGAGGTTAAATAATATGAATAATCACTATATTGGTAATTTCAAGGGTTTAAAAATGAAAATTCTGAAAGTTATTGATATTTTGGGTGCGTACAAATCAAACAATAGAAGAAATTAGATGAAAAGTTTATGAAACTGAGAGAGTTTAATGCAATTATGGATGAATTTGATTCAATTTTAAAAGTAAAGTGAGCAATTTAGCCGAATAAAAACAAAACAAACAAACCTCAAACGATTTCTTGAAGGGAAGAAATCCGAACTGATCATCCATGGCGGCAGCGTTGAAACTGTTCTGAACAATCTGAGAATTTTTTACAACGTTCGAGAATCTGTCGTCTTCTTCCCTGATCTGTCCAATTTCAGTTTCTTTGCCGGCGGCGGCGCTGCAGTGGCGGGGCTGCGTCTGGTAAAATATTTTGGAGACGACAAGCTCTCCTTCCTTCTCTTCCTCGTTCTGCCCTAAATGGTACTGATGCATCACCCAATTCGTCTTCTCCGGCTTTCGATTCTTCCCAAAATTCGTGTACAGTACGAGGATTTTCTTGCAGCCTTTTTGCCTGCCGGAGGACATCACCGGCCGCGTTTTTCCGGTCTTGTGCCACCGCGTCTCCGCCGTCGACGACGGCGACGGCGAATGAATCAGCCGCCGGTCGATCTCCGGCTGGATTTTCCGGCGCTTCCGCGTGCCGGTGGTGTACGCCTTCGACGGCCGGTGGAAAAAATGTCTGCTCAATCCATCCCTAGTCACACCTTCAAAAAAAATAAAAAAAAATTAACATAAACACGAAATTAATCGAAGTTAGGTTTACTTTGGTGGAACAACTGCGAGATTGGTTGAACCAAAAAGGGGGAAAAAACCCTAAATTGAAAAACCTAATTTTTGATTAAATTAACATCCATGGCTGAATTAAATGAACCAAAAAGGGGAAAAAAGAAAACCCTAAGTTGAAAAACCTAATTTTTGATTAAATCAACAGCCATGGCTGAATTAATTGAGACCTGGGAGCTTCTCAGGGTGCGTGTAGCAGATGCCATCTTCACCGTCGATCGTGGGGATGAATTCGTCGATCAACGGATGAGATTTCTCCGGTTCGTGAAGAACTTTAGCTTCCAGATGCTCGATGAGTTCCTGGTCGGTCGGATCGAACTTGACCCCCGCCGGAAGGCCTACCCAGTCCTGAGCTAATTCAAAAATCAATGATTCGATTATGATCACAGATTTTGAGGAATTAGGGTTAATTGAATTGAATTTACCGGCTTGGCGTCGAGCTTGTGGCCGCAGCTAGGGCAGTGTTTGGATCCGCATAATTGATGTTCTTCGAGCTTCGTTTCGATCAGGTCGGAGCTGGTCTTACTCATAGCTCAACCAAACACGCCCTTAATCCCTTTTCAGCTATATATAAATATATATATGTCTATGTATACGTATGTATTGATCAGAGAAAGAGATAGAGGGTGCATGAACATATATGAAATTGAAATTAATTAAATAGTGATTTCTAGAAATCCATGGCTGTAGCTTTCTGAAACAAGATCCAATCTTTCAACCAAGAACATGTATTTTTTTTATTTTTTTTTGAAAAAGAAAATTGAAGAGAAAACTAACCTGAAAGGGACAAATTTGCAGAAAAAAGAAAGAGGGTTCGATGGATAAAGTTGAAGAAATTAATTACAGATTCAGTTGGAGAGAAAAATGAAGAAGAGGAATCGAAGAAGACGACCAATTGCTATATATATATATATGTGAAAACCATGCTTTAATATATATATATATATATAGAGAGAGAGAGAGAGAGAGAGAGAGAGAGAGAGAGAGAAAAGCAAATTAAATAGGAAAGGGAAAGAAGAAAACATAGAGAGAGAGAGAGAGAGAGCAGAATTTAGGTGACTTTAACTGAAGCCCATAGAAATAAAGAAAAAGTTGCTTCTATTATATTTCCTTTTAATTCCTTTCTTTTGCTATTTTTTTTTTTCATACACACAGATTTTCTCTCTCTATATTTATCATTCTTTACTTGTTTTGTCGAATCTAATTTGTAAGCTATTATGTTAAATCAAAAATTTACCTAAAAGTGCACCCAAAAAATAGTAGATGTGAATTCCACATTATTAAAAATAACAAAAAAGAGAGAAAAATAATATTCGGTCCCGTCATCTAAGTGTGAATTCGACATATTTGGATACTAGCTTTAATAAAAATAGATAAAAATAATTATTTTTTGCTTTTTAATGTAATAAATATTTACTAAAAAAAAATAAAGAAGTGAATATAAATTTAAATAACAAATAGAATATATAATTTTGATTTAAATAATATTTTATAAAATAAAGGGTAAACTGTTTTTTTAGTCCAGTAACTGGACCTCCTTATCATTTTAGTCCCGTAAGTGGAGTCTGTCGCAAACTAGTCCCATAAGTGAAAAATTTTCTCTGTCTTAGTCCTCCGGCGCCGGAGACGCCCGCGTGGCTCGCCGGAGGTGACGTGTCCGCCAGGTGTCCCGCCAGGTCAGCGACACCTGGCGGACACGTGGATTTATTTTTATTTTTTCATTTTCTTTTTATTTTTTTTAATTGGACCAAATAAAAAATACAAATAAAATTAAAATTAAGTTTTTTAAAAAAAATAGAAAAATTAAAAATTCACGTGTCCGCCAGGTGTCGCTGACCTGGTGGACACGTCACCTCCGGCGAGCCACGCGGGCGTCTCCGGAGCTGGAGGACTAAAACAACGAAAATTCTTCACTTATGGGACTAGTTTGCGACATGCTCCACTTACGAGACTAAAATGATAAGGAGGTCCAGTTACGGGACTAAAAAAACAGTTTACCCTAAAATAAAATAGTAAATTTTTATTGAAAATGCACCGGTAAAACCAAAACCAAACAATCCCTTACTTTACGCAAACATGTTTTTATATTTATATATATACATTCCCTTTTTCCAACTTAATATATTATTTATGTGTGTTTCATTCAAAAATATTTATTTTTTATTTAGTAAATATATAAATATTAAAATTTTTATAATTTTTATAAAAATACTTATTTTTTTATATTTTTATAATGAAGACGGAAATTTGCATACTAAAGAAAATATAAAATTAAAAAAAAAAAATCAAAGAAAATGTAGCTATGATTTTTTTTTTGTATTTTGATTTATTTATATTGTAACATTGTATAGAAAAGAAATTTTTAATTATTTTTAAATATCATAAAATTATATAAAAAAAAAATTGAAAAAAATAAAATAAAATAAAAGACAATTATATATATATATACACGAGTAGTCTTCTTGACTGGTAAAGCAATAAAGCTATCTCAAACTGCCTTAGCTGTTTCTACACTCAATAAAAGTACAAACAAACAATTTCATAATATTAAAAATAGGAATAAATATATTTTTTTATTTTATATGCTACAATTATTATTACTTTTGTCTTTTAAATAAAATATTTACCAATTTAGTAATCCTTCCGTCTCAATATAATAGTCATGTTTTTTATTTTTGTCCATTTTAAAATAATAGTTTTATTTTCATAAATAATCATATCACTATAAAATTACTCATACTTTCTCATTATTATTATACAATTGTCACTACTTTTTACACTAATACACTCGTAAAGATAAAAAAAATTTTATCCGTACTTTTCATCACTACCAATATAATATCAATATTTCTTAAATCTCGAACACAATTCAGACTATAATTTTGGGACGAAAGGAGTATAATAGTAGTTGAAAAAGTACTACTATTAAAATATTATTATGTGTAACAAATTGGATTCGATTATGCAATGTAATGTTTTTAGATATATTGATTTTTTTTTACGTATAGTACCAAAAATTGCATCAAAATTATAAGATATATTATTATTTAAAATTAAATATTGAATTTTTTTCTTTTTGTAATAAATATTTTTATTTTTATTTATTATTTATTTTTTTTATTTTTGATTTTTATAAAAAAAAAATTTGTTTTTTTTGTTTATATTATTTTTGAAGAATTTCTATTAAAAAATAGTATTGAAAGAATAAAGTGATTATATTTTCAAAATTGACATGGATTAACTGCTCAAACAATTTTTAATACCAAATTTAAATACTTCCTCCATTCCATTGAAATATTACTATTTTTTATTTTCTTTCGTCCCAAAACAAGATTACAATTTTCTAATTTAGTAATTCTACTATCTACTTAACATAATAAATATTTTTTCAATTTACAATATATTACACAAATACAATTACTTTTACATTATACCTTATTAATAGGGGTATTTTTTTGTCTTTTTTACTATAATTCAATATAATATTACTGTTCAAAAATCTACGTGCAAAAAACTAAACGTCACTTTTCCAATGGGACGGAGAGAATACTATTTATATCTCATAAAAATTGTATTATTTTCTTTTTGCGTAATTGTATTTAATAATAAAAATATTTTTATATTTATATAATTTATTCCACAAATGTCATTATATTTATATTAGAAAAGAAAAAACCTAATTATACGTCTCTTTTGGGACGGATGTAGTATATACTTTTTCCGTCCACTAAAGTATTACTCGCTCCGTCCCAAATATCGTGTCTGCTACACAGTAGACACGGTATTTTAGGAGATGTGTAATTAGTAGATAATTAATAATGTATTAGTGAAAATAATTATCCTATAATATAAATAATTATAAATTAAGATTAAGATAACTAATTAGTTTAATTAAAATTAAAAAATTTAAAATGAGATTAAAGTGTGTAATCATTTTCTAAAAAAGAAAAGTAACATGGTATGTGGGACGGATAGAAACGGCAACATGAACATGATATCTGGGACGGAGAGAGTATATTTTTTTGTACTTTACATAAAAAATATATATATATATTTTATGGACGAATAGAGTAATATTTAATTTTTCAATTGCTATAAATTAGATATATCACTATTTCTACAAATATTTTATTTAAAGAACGAAAATGATATGACTAAAAATACATTGTAATAAAGATATATTCTCATTGTACTATTTTTAATATCAACTTTACGTTAATGGAATTTGCTTGGTCTTTAGAAAATACTAATAATATATATAAAGGTATTTTTTTGTGAGGTGAATAAAAAGTATATGTAATTGCGTGTGGCAAACAAATTTAATTTATTTACGTTTCTAACATTATATTAAAATTTATATTTATATATATAATTAAATGTCGGTAAAGAAAAAAAATGCGTGAAAGCGATTAATAAATTATATTGACTCTGTTCCAACTAAATATACTTATTCCGTCCCATTTCAAAGGTGATTCCAAATTTCATAGTAAATTAAAAAATAATACTCTTTCTGTCCCATAACAAAGTATCAATTTTTCCATTTTAGTTCGTCTCATAACAAAGTATCCATTTCCTTTTTTAGTAACTGTACTATCTACCTAACATTACAAATACCCTTACAACTTACAATATATTACACAAGTGTCATTACCTTTATATCACACATACTAATAAGGTTATTTTAGTCATTTTTATTTTATTCCTACTATATCCTAATATAATACTAATATTTCTTAAACTACGTGCAAAAAGCAAATGAATATTTCTTTATGGGACGGAGGGAGTAGTATTTTAACGGTCAGTAAAAATGTGAAAGAGATTTGAATATTTTTATTCTATGACTTTATCTATAATTGTGTGTATAATGGAATGTTTGTAATTTAGGCAAATATTAAAAGTATATTGGTATTAATACATGATTATTTTTACTAAAATAAAAAATAGATATTGAGACTGAATGAAAATTGGTAAAAAAAAAAATACTTTGAATTGGAACAAAGATAATACTCCCTCCTTCCCATAACTAGGTATTTTTTTTACACGTTGTTTTATAAATATTAGTATTATATTGGGATGTAGTAGGAATAAAATAAAAATGACTAAAATAACCTTATTAATATAGTGTGATATAAAGGTAATGGAATTTGTGTAATATATTGTAAGTTGTAAGGGTATTTGTAATGTTAGGTAGATAGTACAATTACTAAAAAGAAAAATGAATACTTTGTTACGAGACGAACTAAAATGAAAAAATAGATAGTTTATTATGGGATAGAGAGAGTATTATTTTACTGTTTTTGTCGGTCTAATTTAAAAATATATTTTTATTATAGTAAAATGAATCACATACTAATGCAAAAATTCTTTTAATTTTTACTTGTAAGATTTTAGGTCTGATTTTACTATTCCAATTTTTTTTTCCTCAAAAAATATCAAATCAAACACTCAATTCTTATTTATTTTATTACACTAAAACTTAATTTTACATTCAAAATATCACATCAATACATATTTATATCACATCAAACAACTATTTTAATTCAAAATTTTATTATTTAAAATAAAAAACCAAAACCAAAATCTCACTGAGTAATCACAACCATAACTTTTATTGGGCATACTAAGAATTAATGATAGTACAATGTCAAAATGATATAAGTAAAAAATAAAGTAAGAATATTATAAAAAAAATAAAAATTATTAATGAGTTGATAAAAATGATAGGATAAGTAAAGAAGAGAAAAAGAATAGAAAAATTGTTACTATTTGTTAAAACATACTTCCCTCGACCAAGAAAGAAGTATACATTTACTTTTGGTGCAGAGTTTAAAAAATAATAGTATTTTAATTATAATGAGTAGGTGAAAGTAGTGTAATGATATTT